CCTGATTTTGAATGCCAGATGCCATTTCATTAATTGACTGATGTTAACCAATTAGTTGGGCCTGTATAAAATATCAGAACACACTGAAATTCTGACTAGGCAAGCATGCTTACTAAGAACAGTGATAGTTTGTGAGTCTGCAAGTAAGTATGAGTACTGGACTTGTAGACTCATGAAGGAGTGATTCAAAAGTGCTTTTGGATTATGCTAAAGCCAAGAGGGCACTTTCCAAATGATCACTGCCCGTGAATGGCCACCTGGAAGGCCATAGTGGGGAACAGACTTTTCTTGAGGAATTTTTTCCTTAGGTGCTAGGGCAAGCTGTTCCTAATGGTTATGTCCCTCACCTCACTTGGAGTGAGCCCAGGCCAAACATGGCCCCATGGATTGGAGTAGCAGCTTGAAGAAAGATTGAACCATGAGTGTTCAACTTGATTCATGTTATTGGAGCTGAGGTAGCCTCCATCTTTCTTCTTATGTACCCTGGTCTACAATTTCCTATTGGAAACTCCATTAGACTTGGACAGCGCCCTTTATTAACAAAGGTCAATGGAATCCATTTGATTGAACTATAATGACATACACTTCCACAAAGACAGAGATTTTATTTCAAAACACTCACTTCATATGCTAATGCAGTCATGGCTTCCCATAATTGTGAAAGAATGCTTTTCAAGAAGGAAAAGCTAAAAGTTCCCATGGACAGCAAGCCAGATTCACGGCACATGCAAACACACACACACGAATGCAAATGCACACACAAGCATATTATGCTATTTGTGTAATTATGACTTGACACAACAGTCCAGAGACATTGTATTGTCAGTGTTCCCAGCATACACTTAAAGTATATGTTGACCATTCCATCATAATATCTGTCCTGGTTAATCAATAAATGTTTTCCTGATACATATACAATATTTCTTTTCTAAAAAAAAATGTGTGAAAATGTGTCCCCCAGACAAAAGAACAAGAGAAAAGTTATAGAGTCACATATTCATTTGCAACAAGTGAGGACTGTCTGGTTCTTATCTGTTGGCTGCTGTAAATAATGAGAAATACTTCAGATGAGTGCTAAGTCATGGATGTGCCTTCTAGTTAGAGACACACATGCTATAGAATAGGCAGAAGATACTCCTGCAGCTCTCCTAGTATGTTGCATGCCTCAAGTTGCTTCCTGTAAAATAAATAGAGTCCTTTATTAAATTATCACATATGATGTTATAAAAGTTTTCCTTTGCAAACAGTAGACCCATTCTTCTTTTCTATGGGAGTTGGAAGGAGCCAACAAACGTGGAGTATTCTCTTTTGGAAACTCATCAATATTTGCCAAGTTTGCTTTCTTGGCTGATGGATAGCCTGGACTAATGCTCATTTGCCAATGATTCCAATTTCAATATTTTAAAGAGAGAAGGATTAATCAAGGAGAGTGAAAGGCAGGATTGCAAACAAAATATTTCTTTATGAGAACATCTTGTCCTCTCAAAATAAAGATGAAGAAGCTAAAATCTCTTAACTGAAGTGTTCTGGGAAATTACCTGCATAAAGATTTTTTGTTACAGTGGTAACAGCAACATCTGAAAATGTTTACCATTGCCAGGCTTCCAAAATAGTTTATTAAAAGGTCCTAATGTATGGAGTTTCTTATTTGTATAACCACTCTACTTGCTCACAAATTGTGTAACAAAGATCCAAATACTGTTCCACAAAGTTATACAATTGGACAAATAAAATCAACACACTTAATAGTTATACTGCCAGGTAAAAATGGTAGTTATTATTATATTTATTATAATTTCCTAATATAGCATGCCTTTCCAGGCAGTACATTTTACATGAGGACACATTTGTTTTGACTAATTCATTGTGTCTCAAAAGCATGAATAGAGCAATTCAGAAGTTCACGTTTACTTCAACTGCGCATTTGTTTAGAGAGAGAAGCAAGATCAGCAGTAACACAAAGTCCATAGCTACTGCTTGGAGGGAGTGAGAGGGAATGAGAGACAGAGAGATGTCGGGGAGGGGGAGGGGGAGGGGGAGGGAGAGAGCGAAAGGGAGAGGGAGAGGGCAAGGGAGAGGAAGAGGGAGAGGGAGAAAGAGAAAGAGGGAGATAGAGCTCAAGAACAAGCACAGCCATAGCTACCACCACAAGAACAGAAGACATAATAGTCTCTTCCTTGGAGAATCCTAAGTATATGACATTCATATAATGAAATGTGTCTTCTGAACCCACAGTCTGTTTCTGAGTATCATATCTCTACAAACCTCACATTTGATATATTATTTTTATAGATGACAGCACTACATCCAAAAATCTTCAGAAGTACTATTTTGGGGAAAATATAAATGAAAATAGTAATCTGCAAAATTAAATAAATTCCAGGGTTTTTATCTTGGACACTCCCTTTTCTAAAATATTCAGAGACTGAAATCATCCAGGAAGAAAACTATTTGAAAAATTGTCTTGAGACAGAATAAATCTCATTTGTGATATTCATGAGTGAATATGATTGAATAGGAAGGACTGAGTCACAATAGCAGATGCACCAGATGATATTAAACACATGTCTAGCTCTTTGTAGCCATGAAAACCAGTTCATTCCCTGGGCATGCAGAGTCCCTGTGTAAGTGTAATGCCAATTTAACCAGACACAGGTGTTACCATTCTCTGGTAGGACAAAAATTGCAGGAATATCATGAAGGATTGGATCACCAAACTCTACCGTTCTTGACCCACAGAAAGAACTGTGCAAACAGCAAAAGACATAATGATCAGCCAGAATGAATAAGACATGAATCGCTTCCAAGGTTTATGCTGGTGTGGACATAGGCTCAGACGAAACATAGAAATGTCTACAGAATAGTAGGATGTTAGGGCAAGTTCTTCAACCAAATTTCCAGATACAAACCTCTTAGTAACTGGAGAAGATGCATAGGCCAAGTAGAACTGGTCCTTTGAGAGTTTCTATTTGCCTCTCAAGCTGATTTGTTGTCAGGAGATCTAATAAAGATATGTGTGTATCTAATGAACACTTCATTCTCTCAGAAAAATAAATGTTGATTATATCTTCTTTTTAGTGACTGTAGTTTTTATCATAACTGGTAAAAAACAATGATTTCGGTTGGGATGGTCATTTCAGAATGGTACTTATGTTATTGGTTTCGGATATATTCTGATTTGAATGAAGAGTTAGTGCAGTGAGTACATATTTTTAACTCGAAACAAATGTTAACAAAGATTTGGATCCCTAATAACTTAAGTGAAAACCTTATCAATGTGGAGATGATGAGACTACTAGGTTTCCATGTTGCAAGAAAAAAAACAATTAAGTTTGAATTTTGCCTCTTTATGAAGGCTCTGTAACTACTTTAAGTTACATTTAAAAGTTAGAAATACTCCTTGGAAAACAAAAAAATATCATTAACATAAATAGGAATCCTTGAAATAAAATAAATGAGTCATGGTTGTTTTCTATGTGTTTCTATCTCTTCCCTCTTCCCTATGAGGTGCAGAGAAAATTCCACACACTGATCCATGTGTGCTGTCCCTTCTCAAGAGTCTCATTCTTTCTAGCTAGTTCCTAATTAAAACTCAGGTGTCCCAAGTAGCCCATACTCTTAGGACATCATCAGCAATTACCTACATTTATAGGTTGATTCATGTTTTAAATGTACAAAAGAGTTTTAATCACTAAAGAAGGTATGAGAGAATCCACACGATGTTTGAAACATGCAGTCTTTTCGACTGCCTGTATTGAGTAGCACATTGGAGCTGGTTTGACTAAATTCACAGGTAGCATTAGTGTGCAAGTCTTTTTTTCAGTGAAGCCACATTTGGTAAGGTAATATCAGCCATGGTGGGAGTATGTAGGCTATGGAAATTGGAAAATTCTATCAATGAGGTGCTTTGTATTAACTGGTTGCTAAATATTTGATCAGTATACCACTGGTTGCTTACCAGGCTGACCGAAGGTCTAGGCATAAATCCAGACTCTTGAGGTTTTTCGTTTTGCTTTGTACAGTGTTACACAAGCCCTACTCTCAGAGTTGTTTTGTAGCTGCACAAGTGATGCAATACAGCGCCAAACAGGAAAAGCAGTGGACTTGTCTCCGGATAGGGCAGCTGGCTTTCTACTGTGGACGTTGGACAATGATTTCCCCATGGGAAGAAGGTATTCCCAGCTGAAAGCATCCCCAAGGCCATTCTTCAAGAGGTCTGCATGCGGGCAACTGTCTGCAGGCAAACCGGCCTGGATTTGGCCCTGCCACAGGTCTGGCAATGGGCTTCTTTTGCTTCCCCCTTCCCTCCTCAAAGTCTGATACAATCAAACGGCCAACAAAATACAGGTCACTGGCAAAAGAGTTTGAAATTTTGCATGATTTTTATTAAACACCATTAGTCTACACTGCACAGTTAATGAAACAGCAAAGCTCCAATCTCAGAAGAATGATTGACTGTGGATCTGAAAAGCAGTTCAGTGTCCCCCTATCCCAGTGTGAGCACTATGAATGATTCTTTAACATCTCATGTCAGAAGCAGGAAGGGGCATGAACTGCGGTCTGGCCTCCAGGGGCTTCCCCACC